CCGCGTGGAGTTCGGTTATATCGCATTTCCAAGAGAACCTTTCAAAAGTCTGGGATAAAAACTATCCTATGTTCTTTCTCAAGGTCAACTCTATGTCTGTACCAAATTTTATTAAAATCAGTTCAGTGGTTTAGGCGTGAAAGCGTAACAGACAGACAGAGTTACTTTCGCATTTATAATATTAGTAGGGATATCATTTTTTAGTTTATAAGTAAATCTAAAGATTTGTATTGATGAAGCGGTCTTTTGATAATCTATTAGCTGATTGCACTGAGATGGAATGCTCATCAAATTGAGAGCATTAGTAAATGGGATGCCATTCGTCGCCCTCTCGTACAATATAATTCCTAATAATTAAACACCAACTAGAAATCTTATCTCAACTGAAATCCCTACTAATATTATTAATGCGAAAATAACTCTGTCTGTCTGTCTGTTACGCTTTCACGCCTAAACCACTGAACTGATTTGAATGAAATTTGGTACAGAGATAGAGTTGACCTTGCGAAAGAACAGGGGATAGTTTTTATCCCAGACTTTTGAAAGGTTCTTTTGGAAATGCGATATAACCGAACTCCACGCGGGCGAAACTGCGGGCGGAAAGCTAGTGTTAAATAAAATCCGATTAAGGATTTACGTATTATAAAAATAGAAAATTAAAACTAAAATGAAAATAATAGTATTTTAAGTAATTTTAATATTATTCTATATTTCGAAGTATATAATATTTTTTTTATAAAGACGGGAAAAGTTTCTTAAGTTCCGGAATCGTAGGTGAATACAAATAAGGGAACAATAAGTGACTACGCAACATCCGGTCCGACTGCTGGCTGTCAACGGCCGGATAGGGCGACAATGAGAGTGATTTAATTATATATATTTGAATAAATATATATAGGCAGACCCTGGCTAAAGTTGGGAACTTGCCAGGAAGAAGAAGAAGATATATGTATATTTAAACTTAAAACAGATCTTAATTAAACAGATCAGAATTTAATTATATTCCTAAAATTGACAATAATCTCATTGTTTATATATTTTTTAAAGTTTTAATATTTTGAGGCTAGTACGCGTATTGCTTAACATGTCCAAGTCACTCCATTAAGTGATTAAGATCTTTACCATACATAGCTCATAGGGCATTACGACATAGTTTCTTAACTTTACCAAAAAAATTCTTTTAAAACATGATTTAAATTATAATTAGGAAAATCTTAACCTATACTTACCCTTATATTTTCTATTTAATACCATATAAAGAGTTTTATGAATGAAATATAAATTTTAATTCTAAAATAACATATAAAATCATAACACGCGTTGTTTTTTCCGTGCTCATGGTGTGCACAGTGTAATAATCAGGGCGCGACGCTAGATGACGCCTCTATGTATTCATTACACTGTGTACTTGTTTATTGCAAGTACTGTTTTTAAGATATTTTTAACCCACAAACAAATATTGATCCATTCCCATAAAAAACTCTACAGGGATTATATCGACTTATATAAAGTTATTAATAACCTTTATTAGTTAATATTTATTTTATAAGTAGGTACGTATAAAATTATTGAACCCTGCAAGTAGTGAGCCTAATTTCGCGAAACTTCTAGATAGATTTTTTTTCAGACATTTGCCCAAATGATGTTATTATATTAATCTAATATAAAGAGTATCTATACGAAACACCCTTTTTATTTGCACTACTTGTTCAGTGACGTGATTTCTTGCACATTAGAAAACTTTATTAATATAGAGATACATTTATCTGTTATATATCATTTAAGATATCCCAAGATTGTATTTATAGATACCCCAAAATGGTTATTTTTTAACAACAAGTTTATTTAATGAAATACAACGTCTTTTAACTATACCTAGGTATAAACGTATAAGTATACGTCTAGGTATACGTTTTCTGTTCCGATAACTTCAATTATAACAAGTAAGTATTGCATTTCAAACAATTCAATTTATTCTAGTATCAAATTGTATTATCATTTACTTCCATCTGAATTAATAACTAATTACTTATACAGGGTGACTGGTGAATTACTTACCATTTGTTTAAGAATTAATCCGATGTCAATATACGTTTAACAAAAAATGTTATACTGGTGAGTATCATGATTACTACAAAATCAATCATGAACGAGATATTTACTAAATGATGTGAAAAAACTTATTACTTAACTTAAATTACTGAAATTATTAAAAATAAATCAAGAAAACTGTTACATTAATTCCATCTCCATGTTTTATAAGTTGACCTGATTCAATAAACATTTGGTACCGTTTAAAACACTATAGGTACTTTAAAATAGTATATTTAACAACCATTCTCATTAAAATCGTAACTAAACTGTACAAAAAAGCTATTAAGAGATAAAAAACTGAATAATTAGCGAGATATGCCGGTAGTCGACAAACAATCGGGTGGCCTGGTTACCCACTGTAGCAGATATTACTGGCTTTAGCTACTGGCTACTGGCTACTAGCTAAGTAGAACCACTACTAATTGTGATGACAGCTTGGCAGTTGGTACATTGTGTAATACACGAGCTAATGCAACAGTTTTTTGTAACATACATCATGATTTACTTAAGTTAATTTATAATGGATTATTTTGAAAGACATAAATAATTGCATTCTTTGGAAGTTTGGAACTATAAAATATATTCTTTCATAGTATTAGAATATGTACTGTTAGAATCAAAGCTTTAGTTGAAAAAAATTGTTGATCCCCTTAAATTCGTATTAAACAATAAACAAGAAATGATTGTATCGTTTTAGTTTACTTTCAAATTAGTAGAACGTATTATATTTAAAAAAATTCAACAAATTATTCCAACAATATTATCTAACTTAAATGTAATATGGTTCATATATTGTTGAAACTAGTATTTTTATTGCATACTAAACTAGTGTTTTATTTCCATAGTCAATAACGTATAGTTTAACCTCAATAACTAACTGTTATTATTATTTAAATAACATCTATGAATAATACTTTATACATATTCAAAACGAGTTAAAATGTAAGAACATTTGAAGATTTATTTTACGATGCATGTTTACCATCGTGACGTCAGCAGTCGTCTTGAGAGGTCATTGACCCGTCACTAGTCAATGTTAATGTCATCTGTAAATGATTGCCTAACATTAACCGACTCCGTAGTCCGTTATTACTTTATGTTTACGTAAACTTATACTGAAATATTGTTTTTATTGCCGTACACTATACTTTGTAACTGACTACAGACACTAAAAGAGTATATAAGTTATTTTAAACTTTAAATGTTGGCTTCGAATTGTTTTATAAATCTACTGATAAATTGATTTAGACAATTCATTTGACACATAGTCAGAATTTTTTTTCTATACCTGACCATTAATTAATTAATAAAATGATATTTTCAGATGTTATTCCAAAATTTTACTGTGGCAACATTTTACAAACACTAAAGACGGAAAAAAGATTATCTGTTCAGACACTTTTCTTCATGGTTTTGGTTTTAGTAAAAAATATATTTTTTCTCCTGTTGCGTAACTCTTTTATAAATCCAATAACATTTTAAATGTATTTTTATCATTAAGCCATTATATATTCAGATGTAGGCGTATGGACTTAAAAGGCTAAGTCGATTCGTTATTTATATTCTTAAAGTAAATCGGATTATCGCTCATATTATGTTTTATACGAAGTTTTTATTGAGATATTACATAGTTTGTGTCTATATGAAACCATTTTTATATAAATACCATGCACTGTATCATGTACTTTAATTTAAAACAATTACCACTCTTTGCTTAAAAATGTTTTAAAGGTCAAAATAATAGCAGTTGTCGTGGTTTCGTTAACATAAACCAGTCATCTGTAACAGTAAAAATTGTATGCATTTTCTCAAGTTAAAGTTTAAAATATAAAAGTTTAATAATTGTAATTTATATCTTTGTATTTTTGGCGTCTAGACTTCGAATGGTGTGTAAAATTTTCTAGAAACATTCTTTTCAGTAGATTCGAGTGAGAAATATTCTTAATAAAAAGCCGCATTGTTGTTGAAGCGCACTTTATTATATTTTGAACACAATGCCAGCGAGTACGGTGCGTACTTTATGTTAGACTCTTTGTTCTTCACTCAGAATATACAGAACTGCTTACAACGCCATCTATCAGAGCGTGAACACTTGATGCAACAACGAATTATTTGACTAACACTGTAATGTTTGTATAGATATATAATTATCTATATTTTGAAATAATTTTAAACTTAATTGAAACAAGGCTAATGTAGTGTCTATATAGACTTATACAAATATATGTATCAGAGAATTACTTAGTAAATTTCTTATTAAGTACGTTATTACCTTTAGTCAATTTATGTCGATTACTTTTTATAAATAATTTAATAAAGTATAAAGTACTTCTGTACACAGCAGTCCGTTTCAAGGCAAGTAGTTAGCGTCAGTCGCGTTAGTTACGCTACGCAGGCTCCACTTTATCTGCCATTGTTGGATGTAGCGCGTCTTCGCTGCTTCCTAAGTGGCCATTAACTAGAGACTACACCGCAACGTGTTATACTTATGTTTTAGCTTTAAGCGATAACGTATATTTTAAATTTGAAAGAATAACGAATAACTTCATTTTTCATAAAATTAATATTAAGTCCACGCGATGTTCATAAATCTATATCCGTTTTTTATATAGTATTCTTTATGAAATTATCTTCTGAGATGACTTTACATTTAATCGAGTCCAAAAACTACCCAGAGAGACGAAACCTCTCATCATGTGTCGGGTCCATCGTTGTAGTGAGAGGAGCTTCAACAGTGACTGGGACTTGCGACCCAGGTGTAGGTTTAAGAGGCCCCTTAACGTGTAAAGTTAGGATTAATTCTAATTAATTATTAATTTATGTATATTAATGTGTTCCTATCTCAATTCCAGGCGTAAGGACGATGTGCCTGTGATCATAACACAGCGGCCGCGGACGGCGCCATCATGACATCCGAGCGAGCGATCCCACACCTCCGGGACATCTTCGGTCTCAACCAACAGTACGAAACTAAACAGTACGATGACAATGAAGACAAAACGAAGAAATCCATGAGGAAGAAGAAGGACGACTACCGGAGCTACGGCAACGGAGACGTTAAGACGCTAGAGAGACATCTCAGCATGAAGAAAACTATCAGGAAAAAGATCATGCGCGACCTACAGCAGGCGTTCGTTGAGGACCCTAACGAGTTTAAAGTCGAGAACACGAGCCCGGAGAAACTGAAGGCGGAACTGAGCGCTGAGGCTGTGAAGATTGAGAAGAATGTTAAGAAGAATGACCCGACCTTCCTCGACATGCTGCGAGGAGAAACGAGGGGGGAGGAGGCCAGGGAAGAACAACCTCAGGTCGAGAAGACCAGCTTCTGGCGACGTCTGACCATGAAGAACAAAAACAAAAGATAATCGACACGTCCCAAACACAACACTCAGTTATAAAACAACTCGGTTATTCCAATAGACAAGTTATTTTATTTTTATTTAGATTAGCCATTATATTAAACTATTTATTTGTTTTAAAAATCTTAGGCGTATTTAGCCCGATAGCCTGAAAAATCTGAAGTCGATTTAGCGGTTTGTGTGCACCTGCTTTGTTATTGTTAAAAAGTAAAGTCAATTAGGTACTTATCCGATTGTGCTTAAAATAATTTATGTGTTTATAAATTCTTATTGAACGCTATGTTTCTCCTTTACAGAAACGTAAAGATGATGCTGTTTACATATAAATTAATTAGTAAATTAATTAAGAATAAATACCTATACATAACTTAAACATAATATTACATGTTGCATAATAATCTTTTATATGTCTTGTAAAATTGATGTGTTTTTGGTGTTTTATACTAAATAGGAATTTAACTTTTATAATATTTCCTTTTTTCCACTTTTTAATGTTGTGAATTATCTGTGTATACATATCTTATACACAATTACGATAATCTGTTTTTTGACATAAACAGTAATGGAGGTAAAGTACTGGCAGCTGTATTGTATACATACTACTTATTTATTACCGTATGTACTTAGTCTTACCTCATAATAAAGACTGTTAATCTTTTCTACGGTACTTATTAACATTACTATTAAAATTATTTATAAATTTTTCTGTGTTCAAAGCCTTTTGTATCGGCTACTACTGTTTACTCTTTGTATATTTATATGTATTATAGTGAGATCGTATAATCCATGAAGTAGGTGTTTTTGACGAAGCAGCGTGAGTATCGGGCGGTGTTACTTATATAATGATATCTCATTCTACATGTGATGTAAGGTTAAGTCTAGTTAGTGTACTTAAGTTAAGATAATAGTTCGTGTAAGGACAGTTCTTTGTTGTGACAGTTTGGTTATAATGCAATATATAATTTTACACATTTATGTGCTGTTTGTCATTTAAACGAAATCCTTGTGACACGTTAATTACGTTGTTCGATATGAAGACATTTTATAGTTGTTTCATAAAATAGATAATTATGTAATGTTGTTCAATTAATTGCTTGTACTTATTCCTACAACCCTAAAAGTTTATCATGGCTCCTGATTACTTAAGTTTAATATAAAAATGGTATTTTATATGTTATGTTATCTTCGACATTTTTTAGAAGTAGTTTAATCATTACTTCTCAGTACCATCAGCGATGTCTAAACAAGTGATTATTTTTGTACCAAAACTTTAAGCAATTTCATTACACTTTATTATGTACATGATTCAGAATCTTACAAATTTATTAAGTTATATTAAATTTTTTCTCAAGGTAAACATCTATAAAATATGTCTGCCTGAACAAGGACGACGAATTGAAATACCTAATTAAATTCTTTTTATTGACTTCATGTTACGGATTTTTATATTGTAATAATTGATTTGTGTTTATTCTGTTGAATTTTTTTCTTGTACGTTAGCTATGTACTTTTTAAATTTTTATTATTATTTGCTCGAAAGATTTTTTGCTTGATCAGTTCATACTTGAGGCACTCTTGTCAAGATATGTTATGATTGTCTACACCAGACTAGCAGATTTCCGAATACTGAACCCATGGGTACATTAACAAATTTAAATATAACAAGCATTAATCCTTCTATCAGAGCTACGTGCAAGCATAATCAAATCTTTATAGGAGCTATGATCCTGTCTGTAACTAATTTCGATGAACTAACAACTGGTAACTACATTTGGTAATTTATAGCTGAGAGCTTAATAAAAGGAATAGATACTTACGCACTTTGAAAATTCTGAAATTGCCATCCTAGAGATGTTACATTTACAATGTTTCAATTTGCAACTAATAAAGACCACATAGGTAAACACTAATTTGTATAGTGAAGACAAGTTGGGTACAAGACCTGCGCTCCTTGTTTCTTTCAGAATCGTATTCTACTACATTTCTTTGTATAATTTCTTGTGTAACACGATACCAAAGTACTTCATCAAATAAAGAACATGAGTTTCTTTTCTATCAGGCGATTATTTAAGACTACATTAACTGTACAGAGCTAAGTACTCATGAGGTACGTAGATAGATTATGTAGATGTACCTACTTAGGTACTTAATGTTTTTTAATAGGTATTATTTACTTTTACGGTTTGTTAGGGAAGTAAAATGTAATTTTATGTAGGTATCTGTTATAGCTCCAGTGAAGTTATTACTTTTTAGTTTTAAGATTGCAATTCTTTAAAGGTTTACATAAAAATTTTGTGTACCTAATCTAATAAAATGTGTAATATACTCTGCTCTGCGACTTATCCAAGAAAAAAGTCCTAGATAAAACTAGTTTTACTTTCAGGAGTATTTTGTAAAGAATAGTCGAACTCAATTACAGTTGGTTTGTTTAATAATTACTAGTATTTGAAAATAACTAAAGTACATTTCAATAGAATTTAGCAATCTTGCAAACAAACGTGATCAGCTGATATTGATAGAGACTTATCTATGCCCTTAGTGATATGAGCACTCTTCAAGATACTTTAATATCAATTATTATATTAGTATTTATATAAAAAAAATACTTCAATTTATTCATATCTTGTTAGTTGTGGTAAGTATTTATTATTAGCGATTTTAAGAAGTTTAGAAATGCAGCACGAAGGAGAATTCATGATTGGTCGCCAGCGCTGCTAAAATTTTATCTCCATGCATTCCAACACTCTTCCAGATCAGTTTTTTAGTAAAAAAAAAGGAACTGCAAAGCATCGCCTTAAAGGATGGAGTTCGCCCGGCAAGCCAGACATTTCTAATTTTGAAAGTAGGTAGGTAACCCAAAAGAAAAAAAGGTAACGCAAATTCGCGGTCTAAAGTTAGTTCATTATCTATTTAGCATGTACCTAACTTTTAAAATAGACTGATACCTAACTTTTAAAATAGACTGATGAATAAAAAAAGGATCTTGTCAATTTGACATATTCAGTTAATTTTCGTATTCAAAATATTTTTATATAAACATAGGTACCTATTCATGAAGATTGTTATAAAGTGGTAAGATTCATTGAGATGTAACAAATCAGGACTGGCATCGAATTGCACGTAAGAACAGTAGGTACATATTCGACGTCAATTTGCTTTGTTTACAAGATTTTTATTCTATTGAACTATAGGTACCTAGGTAGTTATATACCTATCTAATAATGGTTCTTTTCTAGAATTTTACTTTTATCAAATTTCAATAGGTAGGTACCATTAGATATTAATCGGTCCAGCAGTGTATTTCTTGCTCGCTTATCCTCCTTTATGGAGTAGCTCAGATATGAACACAACTACCTATTTTTATTATTTATGTTGTTTAAATATTTACTGTAAGGTATATTGCAATTTACTTCATTCTAATTTCAAAAGAATCTTTATTTCAGTCTTACTATTTAATAGGGAAAAGGTGAGGATGTAGGTAGGTTATCGAGGAAGTTAATGAAACCACCAGGTGATTTAATATTTCGTTTATTTTATATTCGTATTTTGAACATTTTTTAAAAATTTGGAAAAATTCTACCACCGCTTCGGAAGGTGTTCTTCTGTGGAGAAGAAGCGGCGCAAGAAACTCCACAGGGATCACCTTTTTTTAATGAAGTTAAAGCCAATCATAAAGTTTATAATAAAAAAAATAATTTAGCTCCTACTTAAAATATCACGCGAAATTATTGATGTCACCGCCCGGTTTGCTGTCAGATAATTTTCATAAGTACTTATGATAGAAATTTAACGTAACCATAGTCTAGCCTAAATCTAGACATAACCTAGATTTAAAGAGTAACCTATTCTGATTATATGTCTATATTTACGGTAAACTATATTATGATAAATTAATCTAAAAAAGCATTGTGGTGCAATAAATAAGAATAATTCCTTTATTAATAAATATTTAAACATATTGGTAATACTGAAAATGTATTAAATAAAAGTAATCAATAAATAGATTTTTATTAAATGGAACAAAGACCAAATATTAAGGACTAAATTATTCAGGATGCGGTTTTTCGTCTTGAAGCTGGATGGCGAAAAAAAATCAAAAAATTGTTACCTGGTGTTAAATTGTGTAGTGTTTATTCTTTGAACTTTATTATTAATACTTATATTATCCTTTAAAATATTTCTCATTTGCCAGTTTCCATCATCGTATTTTTATTAGATTCCTATGTAATTATATAAATAGAAGAAAACTTCATACTGATATACATATCGATCCTTTGGTTTATATAAACTCCCAAAATTTTTCAATGACTGGTATATAATATCAATATAATTTTATGCTGAAATACGAGGTCATCACACTGCTACATGTCAAGCTAATTAAGCTTACATCACTACTTATTTCCCACGACAGTTACTGAACAAAGCTGCGTCACACTACATTTAATGAGCCATTCATTATAGTCACATTAGATTGTATTCCTTCCGTTTGAACGAGTTTTCAAGATACAAGGAATAGTTATGTCAATTAGTTTTATTCCGTGTCGGCTTTCCTTAGATTATATTAGGCTCCAAGCGCTTAAACATTTATTTATATAGCCTCAAACTATCAATGTAATTTCCAAGTCAAATACAGGTCATTCCATGGTCGCTTTCGAGTGAAGGTGAATTTTTACTGCTGTGTTATGAGTCAACTGCAAGTGAATACAGGACGCAGGAAGCAAGTGTTACACGAGATCCCAAGATTTATATGCAATGCTACTCATATCAACCAAATGTTTCGCTACAAGAGAAAATTTTAAATTGCAAACATAACAGACACGGAAAAGTAAGTTATAATAAAACCATTTATCAAATGGATACATGCTTAAATTATAGATTGGAAAAATAAAGGTCAATACTGGTACCGGCTGCGATCGGCGCTCAACGCGGACAGGATCCGAAAAATAGGAAAAACGGGAACTGTAAAATATAAAACGAAAAACACGCGTAACGTTATAACTTACAGG